GATCTCTGGGGGTTTCATAAATATTGTGGATACCAGCATTGTATCACCAGTATATTGAATATCTGTTTATTTGTGTGTTTGCTGTAGAAGATTGAAAAAATAGGGGATAGCAGACAATCCTGTTTTGCTCCCAGGCCATGTACTGATGATAAGAGTAGTCAATGCCGACAATATAGGTATTCATAGTTAGTGTTCCAAGAAATAGGACTAAAAATAAACCTTTCTAAAACAGAAACCATGATCTGGTCTGGAATGAGAGCAATGATGGTTCCTACCTTGAATCTATCATAAAAATTCAGCATATGGACTTAGTAAATACTAAACACTTCAAAATACAAAAGATGAATCAGTTATAATTAATTTAGTATATATGAGAGAAGGAAATTGAACATAAAATAGGCTGCACTAGAGATAATTTTACCAAACACTGCAAATTGCTACAAATCCAAAACATTAACTTGTGTCATGTTCTTAAATAGCCTCATCAAATTGAGACTTTCATATGGATGTCATGAATGGCACCAAATCTGTCTAGAAATAATTAAACTGTCAGCTATATACAACCATTTTCTTAGATCAATGGTTAAAAGAGTTTTGAGTGAAGGAAGCTTGTGAATCAAACCTTGTGGACTTGCAATGTAGAATCCCAAGTACTGTACCAAATAGAAACCACATCACTTGAGGACTTTCAACAACAGCAACAACTAAAATGGATATCACATGTAACTCAAAGAAAAAATAATGACAAGACAACATTCCATACTATTCAAACAAATGTTTAGGATGGAAATCCCCATAAATACTGGAAAGAGCAATAATAGCTCCTGTACTTGAGAAACCTATTTTCCTGAGAAATTGCTTTAAGAGAAAGATTTTATAAATTTCAACCAAAAGTAGTACTGTCCACTCACTCAGTCAATGAATGCCAAATGTTTTCTTATAAGGAAATGGCTAATATTACCATTCTGTCCTATCATACATGAACTCAATAATGACAACAATCCTAGGATTTACACCAATAGCTTTCTTTCAAATTGTATCAAAGGCTGCCGCCTTAAAGTCAATAAAATGGAAGTGTAAAGGTGCTTTTCTTTCTTTGGCCTTTTCCATTGTCTAACAACAAAAATTCTATCTGTTGTCCCTCTACCAAATTGGAAACTATATTGGTCTTCTTTTATAGCACTTTCAGTTTGATCTTTCATATAGTTCAATAAAATTTTGCTAAATATTTTTGCTTATATCTTTCAGTTCCTCTTGCATGTACACACCACTTATTATAGTAGCATAACAACAAAAGAAAATCTTTGAAAATTGCTAACAGTTTAGCCAAAAGCACTCAAGACAAACTGTTGAACAATTTCTACATTCATTTAATCCAGAAAATGACGACATTTGTATATATACAAGAAAAATATAATAAAAAAATCTAAATAAAAGTACCCTGTCAGTCTTGTTCAAGGAAACATGTATTAAAGAGGGGTTGCTGCTCAAATGCACAACTATTTATATAGTTAAAGATGTACCTTTATCAATATCATCCAATGACAAAAAGGGATTGAAGAATACTTCAAGGTTAGATATTAATAAAATATGTTGATTAACTATAATCAATATTCTTTGAGGTTCCTGCAAATTGGCTGAAGTAATTCACATCGGTTCTCAATAGTTGGGAATTCAAACCAAAGAAAAATTCTCAATATCAATTTTATTTCAAAATAGCCTACCCCACTTTAAAAATTAATGACATGCAAACTTCCTCATCCCCGTTTTAGAATAAGTATAAATAGTAGATAATTTTTTTTTAAATATGTAGATGATTTTTTTCTGACAATTGAATTGAATCATCTAATGTTTCTAAGCAGACCAAAATAAGCATAAAGATCAGTGGCTAACATTAGAAATGTAAAATTTATGGTACTCAAAACAATATATATATATATATATATATATATAAAGAAAGAACAGTAAGATATATAATCCGGTGTTCTTATAGATATTTTTATTTTTACAAAATAGTGCTCAATGTAAATTTACAGAGCATTAATATTATACATTAAGTTATTTAAAATATGTGTTTTTTTTTTTCGCTACACAGTTCTAACCATGTTTCAAAAATGGAAGCTAAAAGCTACGAATTTAATTTTGTAATTAAATTAAAGACATTAGTTCCATTTCATCCTCAAGTGAATTTTGGAGTAACTTTTAAAATTACTGGGTTTTAAAGACACAGCTCTAATGTCTTTAATTTAATTACAAAATTAAATTCGTAGCTTTTAGCTTCCATTTTTGAAACATGGTTAGAACTGTGTAGCAGAAAAAAATATTTTAAATAAATCATATTTTAAATATATATATATATATATATATATATATATATATATATATATATATATATATATATTCAAACTACCAATGACTATGAATTAATGAAACATGATTTGTTTTTTCCAAAATAAAATATCTTCATTTTAAGAAAAATAAATTTACTGGCTTTTTTGGTTTATCTAAATATTATTGCATATAAAAATTGGTAATATAATAGCTAAAATAAGAGAGAAAGGAATTTTTTTTTTTTACATTATTTTACTATTGATACAAAATAAAAAAAATTACAAAACTAATGAGTGCATGATATGGAGAGTGGGTGAAAAATTATTAGCCCAATCCCTGAACAAGCACCAGATAGTTGGTAGGAGTTTTTGGGTCAGGCTGATAATTTTTTACTACCCATAATATATATATATATATATATATATATATATATATATATATATATATATATATATATATATATATATACATTCATTCAAAAAAAAATAAATATATATGTGTGTGTGTGTGTGTGTGAGAAAATTGTCAGTAACTAATAAAATTGATAGGACCCCAAAATATTTTTATATGTAAATGATAAAATCTCCAAATAAGTATAAAGGAGTTTTTTTGCATAATTGTAAGTAGATTGTTAATAATAATAATTATCATTAGAACATGTTAGAAAAAGAATTACAATTTATTCAATGAAAAATGAAAAATATTAAATAGAATTATTTATTCATGAAGACAATCAAAGTTCAAAACTGGATTTTGAAAATTTAGAATTAAGTAAATAACTTGTTTACTTTTTGATGAATATTTTTTAATTTACTCAAAGAGAAAATACATTTTCTTTGTACTTCAAACAATTTAAAATACAGTAGGGTATACATAGAGACATTTGCTAAATGAACAAATAGAACAACAAACGTTTTTTTCTGACAAAAAATAAATTTAACAAGCTCAAATTTAATCAACAAACCATGAGTAGACTACACATGCATATCCTAAACACCAACTCAGTCTCCATATAGTACTCATTTTGAGTTGTAAGCTGTGAACTTAGAAAACTTGGACATTTGCAGGCTATCAAAAATAATATTTTTTTATTAAAAACATAATTATGGATCGATAGAAGTGAATGAGAAAATCAATTACTGTAGAAATTAAGAAAACAATTCCTAAACATAAAAGTGGAACAGATGTAAGCAAACTTAGTGCAGAGTGAAGAATAGGAAAATCAACAATCTGCATCATACTTTTTAAAAGAAAAGAGAAAGAAAAACATTTTAAGGGAATAATGACACTTAATAAATCACAACAATTTTCTTGAGATGAAAAATTTGCTTTTTTCCTCCCCAATGATAGTTATAATATGAATGAAACAATAATGCAAAGGTCAAGCAGTTGATTGATGACCTTAGAGTTAATGCACTCAATAAAAGTGATCCTATAGTGCCAGATTTTATTGCTGCTTATTTATTTCTGTATTTATTTATTTGTTCTATGTACTATTTTGTGTATTTTCCATTTTTTTTATATACTTTTATATGAAGTTTAGGTTAGGCTTGGAAAAGATCACCTCCATTTATATGTATTTCAATTGCTTAACAAAAAATGCGTTGAATGAAAGGAAATCTGGAATGGTTTATGTTTGTATATGGATACCCCATTGTATTAAAAAAAATAATTTTCATTCCTGCTAAAAAAAAGTTTACAATATTAAGAGTTAAGAATTCTGTAGCGGTAACAATTTGTTACAAATATCTTTGTTATATCATATGTGTGATCCGATCCATCATTAAAGATGCTGGAAAATGAGTTGGATCTTTGCACCATTCTAGTATATACCTGACTCCTGCTGCTATGCTCAATATTTTCAAGACCCAGATCAGACCAAAAATTGAGTATTGCTGCCATATCTGGGATGTAGCTACAGAATCCTCACTTTCCAGTCTTGATATAGATGAAAGGCATGTACATGATCTTGTGGGTGATGAATTATTTTTCACTCTACAAAGCCTCTCACTACTCTCTTGATATTTCCATGGAAATTATTCTGATGAGCTACATTCATTATTTCCACCAGCTCTGATCTTCACAGCTAAGGTCCACATGCCACATATACTGAGACAAATCACCCACCCCTCTTCACTTTGTATTCCATTAGTAAGAAGAAAGTTTAATTCAAACATCTTCTTTCCAAGAACTGCTACTTTATGAATTCCTGAGAGGATGCTTCCTTGATCACTATAATCTTAGCCTCTTCAAGTCTAGGGTTAACTTATCTTTCCTACTTACCCTCATAAACCACAATTCTTACCTCCTCCTCTTATACTCAATACAACAACCCTGTCCAGTAACCCTCTACCTTGAGTGGATCTTGGGCTCTTTAATAGGTGAACAATTAGTAAAAAAAAAAAAAAAAATATCAAACTCCTTTTATCAGGATTTGTTTAAAATCTGGCTAGTCATGATTAATCGATTTGTTTTTTTTTATGGCTTATCAACCTTTTGTTATTTAAAACCAGAAATATTTTTAGATATTAAGAAATTTTTGAAGATAATGATTTACTGATGCAAGTCCTACTAATTAATCCATAGCTGGGAGAGAATAAGTGGAATCATATCTTTCCCAAACGTATTTGCACATGAACTCAATTTCCAATTCCGAGCCATTATCCATTACACTACCTGATATTCCCAAGCAGTCATCCATCTAGGTACTGATCAGGCTCAATGTTGCTTAACTTTGATGATCATATAAGAACTGGTGTTTCAACATGATATGGCTGTAAGTCATTTAAGTGAGGAATGTTAATTTTAAATATAATAATCTATCAAGAGGTAAGTAAATAGAGATATTCCAGAAAATTTTTTAAATGTTATCAAACTTCTTGTCAGAAGTTGAATAGTTTGCATTGTTGACATAAAAGTAATAAAAAGTAATAAAGGATGTTAATAATAGAATCTGATTATGTCATTGTTATCCTAAGGCTTTTAAGATGTTCTATAATCATGTAGTAAACAAACAGATGTAACTACATATTACAATATTACATACAAAACCTATTTTTTTTTTTACAAGGAATTGGAATTCTATACTGCATGAGATTATAAACAACCTTGCCTGTATTTATGACTGCAAAAGATAAATATTTGAAGGACACTTGAAAATAGATAACAATATAAACCTAACCTTTATATTACTCATAAATAAGTGTAATAAGTAAATATTTCTTAGACGTTAGTGCTACAACGAGATTTGATATACCAAAATTTTCATAATTTTAATACTTAATTAAACAAACTGATCACAATTTATTATCAAAGTGAATAAATTAAGTTCTGAGACAATTTAGTATCATTACTGAATGGCAAAGTTAATACGTAAGCATCATGTAATTGATGACTATAGGTTATGTACAGGAGAAGGAGGCCAAACTGTGTAAAATGTGATAGGTTAAGAAACAATGGATATAACTTCAAACGAAAAAAAAATGTTCTTTTTTCTCTTGGTTACAAAAGGCTGTATTCAAGTATGAATGGAGGTATCCAAGACGCAATGACAGCTGAAGAAGGGAAGAAGCGTGCATCTGTCGAAACTGGGATGGAGAGTGTTTGTGTAAAGCTGCTTAATGCCTACTGTATATTGCAATGGTAGGGGGAAATGGAAGAATAAAAAGCATGTTCTCACTTAACAATGTGTCAGTTGATGGAGAACCACAACACATTCTAGATGTATTAAGAGTTGTTGAGTCATTAGACAATGAGACAGGAAAGATGATTCAGGCTACAGACTGATGCTGGATGTACGAATATAAAATGTCCAATAGGGGCCCAGGTGGAGATGCCAAGTTGTAAATAGTATCTTTATTTTGTACTTAGCATTGGTTGACCTGATCGTTAAGATCTGGCAGGGGGGAGAGAATGCAATTGGTGAGTGCAGCATAAATGTGAAAGAAGAGGAAAGAAACAGGCTGAGATGGGATAGATAAAAAAAGAATGACTATGAACCCAAATGAGAAGGTGACTTTTTCTTCTTTTTCTCTTGGCTGTTGCTGGGTCAGTTTGTTGGTATTTTTTGTACATGAGAGTTTCCTTGTTGGAATACCAGCTAAGCAAATTATTTCCATTCTGTTCTGTTTGTATGTCCTGGCTATACTTGTCTTTCTGAGTAATAAATAATAAGCAGCTATGCCAGATATTAACAGGCATGTGGTCAAGGGGTTAGGATAGTTAGCATTCCGACCATGAAACTCAAGTTCTAATCTCATTATCGTCAACCTGTCAGGGAAATAGCTTCTTGATAATATCAGACTGGGGAAAATGATTTTGGTATGCAGCACAATTGGAAGTGCCTGAAAAACATATCACAGGTTCACTTAAGCCTTGTAAGTGGAATTCAGTAGACAAAACCGTTTTCAGAAGCTGTTGACAAACAGTACAAATTTACAACTCATTGTGATTGAAGGTTTTAGCATACTGGCCATGTTCAAATACTAACCTTACCAGATTTTGTGTTATCTTCCAGAAACTCTAAGTTCTACTCAGTATAGTTGCAATATAAACCACGGGTTGGCTTTGTGTCTGTGAAAGAAGTACAAAATGCACCTGAGGAGGTAATTGCCAACTGAGTAGTTGGATATACTCAGAAATTAACAGCCAACCATTATATGTCAGATGTAGGATAATTGGTAAGTTAGAAATTTTGTTCATCAAATAATATTATGGCATAATTAACTTTAAAAAAGTAGTAATGCAAACAATATTTCATTAACAAAACTTGTAAGTGATGTATTTTTATTTAAATAATCCACAGAATGTTCTGGTAGAGAGAAGTTAATTTCTCTGCCAATTTATATACATGCAAAATAAGCAAACAGAATAAAAGTTACAGTGAAATAGAGGACAGAATGACAAATCATAGATAAAGTAAAGTGTGACACGATAGGTGATCAAAGATACCCATAGAAAGAAAATGTCTAGTCAGATGACCTAACCTGGGATTTAATAGAATTTTGTGATGAATGACTTACTTGTCATACTTTCTTTGTTGATTGAATGAGGTTACTTAAAATTTCATCAGGCAATAAGATTTTTTATGTGGGTAAAAACAGGAAAAAAGAAACTCAGTTCTTAGAACCAAACAGCTATAACTATTCACACACATGATTTGATTATAGTGGCATGGGCTTGTGCACAACTGATAACACTTTTTGGAAAAGTCAAATACAGAGAACTGGTGCACATGGTGTGTCACAAGGTCCCCAAATGACCCTCCTCAGGTTTTAAATTCAGAGTTGTCCCTTAACTAAACGGGTTGCCACCCAAAATTATAGAGTTCAGACTGTCCTGCTATATATCCATAGCTGAGGCGAGAAAAGATAGATTCATATCTTTCCCAAAGGTATTTGCACATAAGCAAATCTAATGAACTTGGCTCTCCAATTCCTTAATCCAAGCTATTATCCATTACTCTACCATGCCACCATGGTGTATGTGTGTGTGTGTGTATATATATATATATATATATATATATCATATCATACTTATTATAAAACCCAGGTTGTGTGTGTATGTGTGTCTGTACGTTTATATATTGGATCGGATTTCCTACATTTTTCAACCGATTTCAACAAAACTTCACAGGACTACGTAAAATTACCTTGCAGTTGTTCTGACAGCACCAAAAATTGGAAAAACACAATTGTTTTTGCACAAAATCAATTTGAAAATACGATTAAGAGGCATCGCAAGAATGAAAGGGAGACAACTCATATCGAGTTATACTTATTATAAAATCCAGGTTGTTTGTGTGTGTGTGTGTTTATATATAGGATCGGATTTCCTACATTTTTCAACCAATTTCAACAAAACTTCACTTTTTTTTGGCAGGTAGTGTTTCTTATTGTCTTGCACACTTTTTTCTTTATTTTTACATTCAGAATGCTTTAAAAATTCCATTTACAAGACAATTGTTTATAATAAAATCCTATTCAATCAGTAGACTCATAACGATTGAAAACAATGTTTTTGTTTAAGTTCGGGTTTGACCAATTCGTAAAAAAAAGAAAAAAAACCTAATTGAGACATGCGTGTCCGTCAACCTTAAACAATAATCTTTGTCAATTTTATTTTTCAGTCTTTATGATGGTTGATACTTGATCTATCTCTTACTGTTACATCCCGAACTAACGCCAGTTAGTATATATATATATATATATATATATATATATATATATATATATATATATATAGCAATATGATGCAACTTCTAATTTAATTTTGAATACTAACTTTCAATAATATAGTAAGGATAATAATCTATATTATAGTGATATGTGTTTGTTATTGTAACGTGGTAAAATAGTAGATTTTAGCATAATATTTGTTAAAAATTAACTAAGTTATAGAATAAGGTAATTTAGAGTCCAAATGGGTAACTAGTTTCAGAGTAATTTTTAATTAAATATAAACAAATAACAAAAAACTACCCAAGTTTTATTAACTGCTAATCACAGAATTGTTTCCAGTTTTGCATACCAGTGATAAAATTTTAATAAGTAATAATTATAATTAAGTGTAGTGATAATTAACATTTGCAAATCATTATAATTTTATAAATAAAAAGTGTCTTGATATCAAGCAAAGGTTGTCAATTAAAAGAATGATAATAATGTCAGAATAATATCTATCCTTTTAACAATCCCTGAGTGAATATTACAAGACCTTACATCCATCTTTGTATACTCACCTTGGCTGTTATACTCTCTAACCTTCTTCAGGTGCCTTTTAAATTCAATAACAATCTTTGAATTTTTAATCCACAAGAATAAATAGTTCTTATTCCACTTTACACGCTCAGGGGAGATAACTAATATCAGTTAATACTCTCCAGTCTATTTATCTTTGTGATGTTCATCATTTTCTTACACTGAATCACAATATATAACATTTACATACTACTTACCTCAAGAAGACTTGAACTCAACTGCCAGGAAACTAGAAATTTTTAACCAATGCTTTAATCCACTAGTCCATGTATCACTTGGAAAATCCAGTAGTATAACATTGGAGCTTTAAACCTGCATTCCAGTTATGAAATTTTTCAGTATCCTCTTTTTATTAATCAGAGGCTCCCAGATGGTGTTCATCTGTGGCAGGTCTACTGAGTTTTCATATGCACTGATTATTTCAGTCACCTCATCCTTTAGTACTGTTATTTTGATTTCAATCTACAAGGATTGATGACCACCCTTTTCCTTCTATACAAGATCAGCCATACCTGATTTCAATGTCTCCCAATGAATGAGTTAGTACTTCTCTATAATTAGCATTTAGTAGTCATTGCCTATTAAAAAATTTTCCAGGTTTGTGAAAATTAAGAACCCACCCAATTCAGTTGTAGATCAGCTGGTTCATTTTGTGGGTGGTTGGTACACTCTTTATTTTAGTGGATTTTAGGAGTACCTTAATTTTATACCTCCAGCTACAATGCATTGTTTCAGCAACTTATAGATTATATGCATACAAAACTGAACTTGTAGTATTATATAGATTATTAAAAGTAATCAAGTATCTAGTGACAATGGAAACTCTTAAAGTAATCAGCTGATCAACAGATTTACAGATGAATTTGATTTTAATTAAAACTAATCTCTTAAAAATATGGGTGTGAGGAAAAGGGACAGGCTAAGACTTGAGCTACAAATTGGAGACATTTGAACCAAGTATAGAAATTTAACTGTCTAGGAAATGTTATAACAGACAACAGAAAAGATAGCACAGAAACCCAAAGGTACATTAGAATAGCAAAAATGCATTTCAAAAGCTAAACAAAGTACTAAGAAACAGGAAAATTTCATTAGAAACAAAGAAAAGAGTGATCAATCCTCTTATATGGTAGTAAATGCTGAACAATTCATAGTTGTAGAGAGACAAGGCAACAGAGATATGGTTCTGTAGATGAATACTGAGCATATCATGATGAAACACATGAGCAATAAAGAATTTTTTTTTTTTTTTTTAGAAAAACGGGAAAAAAAAGAATGCTTATACTTAAAATCAGGAAGAAATAGTTGAAATTTCTGGAACACATAACGAGGAAAGATGACATGGAGAATTTGACACTCACAAGTCATACTGAAGGCAAATAGGGAGAAGGGAAACAGCAAGTACCTACTTAATGAACTTGGGTAAATGATGGCAGAAGAGAGACTGGGATGGATGATAAAGAAACAAATGTTGCGTAGAACTACAAAGGATAGAAAGTTGTGGAGAGACATAATCACCTATATTCTGAAGGAACATGGCACATAAAAGAAGAATCTCTTAAAGAAGACTGTACAAACAAAAGTACAGAATGAGGCTGGTCTGAAATTTGAGATACAAATACTTTTAAGCTTAAAGAAGAAATATTTATATTGGAATATTGTTTCAGTATTTATATTGGAATATTGTTTCAGTATTTATATTGGAATATTGTTTCAGTATTTATATTGGAATACTGTTTCAGTATGAATTTAGTTTTATTTTGTACTATTCATCATGATGAATAAACAGTAATTATCCTTCATAACAAATTGGAGTTAACTGAAAAAAAGGTTTAATTATTAAAACCTTTGGAAATGAAAAAGCCATTCATTTTGATACTAATAAAGGCAACAGAAATAATGGATTAAAGTATTGTTCATGAATTTTATGACAAAGTAAATGGGAGTTCAAACCCTGGATCAGAGAGTACACACTCAGACTCTGTGGCTAGTAATAACTATGCAGTACTTAAAAATAAAATAAAAATTTAAAAGACAAGAACAATCTACCCCTGTAAATTAAATAATAATTTCAGTCCAAAATTCCATGAAGGTTATCCAGATCAACAAATACCTGAAAAAGGTCAGAGGGCACAATGGCTGAAATGTTGGGATAAATAAGAAAGATGAGGAGATTAGCCTCAAAGTATATTATAGAAATAATTGTGCTAAATTGTTTTGGACTTCATACCTCCAGTAGTATATATACCAATTAATGTGTTAAATTAACTAAATTTTCAATTATTTAAAAATTATACTGTTTATGTATATAAAATGGAAACAAACATAAATAAGTTATTTATTTATTTATTTATTTTTTTTGTTACCATTTTACCACTAGTGCTTTCCAAGATGATCTCAGTCTACAAAGGAGCTTCCATTTGTTGTTTTTTTTTTCAACTAAAATGAATTATTTGGTATATATGGTAATTAATAGAATCATAATATTTAAAAAAAAAAGAAAAAAATATTGTGATGCTAATAATGGAAAGATTAATATTTATTTTTAATATTTTGTGCAAAAACAATTTGTTTTTTTTAATTTTACCTAAATTTCCACCCATGATTCTTTCTTGCTAACACAGATATATTTCTAGTATGAAAAATTTTTGTACTTTACATATTGCTAACGTTGGAAGTCTGATCAATAATTACAGATTGAGTGGAAAGAAACCTCCTATTGAAAATTACTTATAACTTTTGTTAATATCACCATTAGCATAAAACAAAATATATTGTGATCCCTAAAGTGATAGGATTTTATTGTTAATTTCTGTTTTTATTTCACTGTGACAAAATGGCACAACACCTGTCACTACATGAGCATGCTCAGTGAGCATCCCATTATGAAATGTGGCAGTCTGTGGTATAAGTGCAGAGATGGTGGTGCAGTGTACATGGACCTTATGCTTCAGTAAATGCTAAAACCATCAGAAATTGTCATTCCAAGCAGATACATACAGGATCTGTGGTAGATATCCACAGAAGCATTCATCCTTCAACATCCAGATCGGAAGAAAATGTGTAAAAGGTAGAACTTTAACATTGTGCTGTACTGCTACCATTATACCGTTCAAAATAAAAACATGTTTTATGAAAATTGACCAATAATTAATAAAATTATTAACAATTTTAAATAAGGAGGTTTCTTTCCAACCACCCACCATGTAGATCCATTTTGTAAATGTCCACTTCCAACATTCTGCAAGAGTTGTTACAGCAGTCAACATAAACCAAGATATTTTTTTAGTCAACATAAAGCAAGATATTTTTTTTAGTCAACATAAACCAAGATATTTTTTTTAGTCAACATAAACCAAGATATTTTTTTATTTTATTTTTATTTTAGAGAAAGATATTGTTTAGTAAATGAACAGAGATCATGTGACCATAGTAAAAACTAAGCTGGTACTGAAGGGTACCATATATGTTAAAATGAATTATGCAAAAGCTGCAGAAACATAGAACCTATTATGTATATTGGAGACAGGCTTGTTATTCAGTTCACTAAATGTAACACAATATATACTGTGGCTCTTCTATGGCAAGCTCAAGGTCAAAAAGTCTTGGTTATGATACCAGAGGTAATACTATATCCAGTTGTAGATGTGTTGGTTTGATGTATGTATCTATTTGCTATTTTCATGCTTTCTCCTTGGTTTCATTTCTAGGATAGATGTAGTGCTATAACCAAGATCATTGGCCAGTTGTCCCAGTTACTGATTCAGCCATGTTCTGGACAGAAGACTCTTCCACTTATGTTGTATCTAGATATAATCTGAAGTTTCAAGCTCAGGGTTGAAATATCACAAACACAAGCTAGTCACATGTCACACAAAACTAAAGTTGACAGATTTCAGAGATTGAGTGATGTTTTGTAATAGTGATGAATAAGACTAAAATATCATAAGATTTTAAGAAAATGTAATTTATTTTAACTTTTTTTACATTGATCTTTTAAACTTGTATCTTGGTTTCCTTTGATTCTAACATTTGCACAGTAATCTGAACTTTGAATCACTCATTCACAACTATGAGGATAACAAAATAGTTGTTTATGTGTTTGCTTGTTCTCCCACTTCTGCTGCTATAATATTCTCTTATCTGTCAGCATTATCAAAACTCCCTAAAATGTGTCCTGTACTTGTCACCAATGATTTAATGATATGATCTGACCATTAATTTATGTTCTCAAAGGATCTCCTTTATTGGAAAGTACTCAGCCAGCTAGCCACTTGACAGAATCCTCATAACCTACTTCTCAGAGACTATTCTTCCTACAAGACCTATGTCTTAATGTAAACAAACCCTCACTGGTCTGCTTTGGCCAAGTTTCTGGAAAGCACTTTTGAAAGAATTATTCTTCTAAAGAAACCATACCAATCTGATATAAACAGGTAAATATCAAGGGTTTTTAGGGAGATTTTTGATTTTAACCAAGAAAGTGATTTAATATCAACATTTTTTGCAGACTTCATAAGTGTAGGTAAAGAGCTGTACCCATTTATACTAAGTTATCTCCAAGTTAATAATAGTTCAACCTATCTAATTTCTTAAAACTAATTGCTCTTTCTAAATTAGTTCTTTTTCCACATTTAATTCCAATCATCACTGAATGCAATCAAACCTTCTCTTACATCCTCCCAATCTGGTTCTACACCATGAAACCAAAACCTTTCTCCATTAACTCTTCACTGGTCACTGTCAAACCTCCTTGAGGCTCAAATCGCACCCCCACCACCACACAAGTTTTTTTTTTAATTCTTATCTAATTACATAATCCATGATATGACAGTATTTATTAAATACGTTGAAACTTTCATTCAGTCTCAGGATAACATATTTTGCATTAATTACACTGCCTATTCTAAAAATAATGAAAACAAACTATTTCTGGTGATAGAAGTAAATATATTGGAATATAATTGTAATTTTAGGCCTAAAATCTGTTTTAGAAAATTGCATATTCCAGCCATGAAACCAGGGTTTGGACCTCTACATGGTTGATTTGTGAAAAAGATGACTTCTTGATATTATCAGTGTGAGGAGGTGATTATAGCATGCAGCACCTTTGGAAAGTGCTCAAGACCATAAAAGACACAAAAGCAAAGCTTAAAGAAAATATTAGCCATTTTTCATACTTTCTTGGCATTATCAAATACGAAATAACAGTTGCTAACCAAGCTTATGTGAAGGATCATATATATATATATATATATATATTTATTTAAAAATATGATTCCAACACGCTACATAAGAGTTCTTTCCTATTTTCTATATATTTTTCACATTATATATATATATATATATATATATAAAATCCTTCACATAAGTGATATAAAATAATCTGTCAAAGTTATAACTTTAAATGTTTTTTCATTGTAGTTATCGCCCTGTCCATTGAGTATTCTGCATTATTGAGCTGGACTCAGGAAAGTGTTTCTTAGTTGAGGAGCTGAATCAGCAAGTAGTGTCTCTGAAAGAGGCATTTTGTGGATCCTGCAGTACAAGAACAGTCCCATGATTTCAGCATCTATTTGATGCATAATCCACCATTACCCATTGTAATAATCATTAATTGTAATAAATGTATGTACCTTGGTCATATTGATTTTGCGCCATTCAGGAAGTAGCAGTTTACTTAAGGCCACTTAAGTGAAGCATTATCATATACGTGTGTGTAAAAATTCAGATATAACTAAAAATATATATCTAAAAAGACAATATGAATAATAAAGACAAAAGGGAAATCTTATCTTAACCGACATCTTTCATCCTCTGATGGACTTTATGAAGGCAAATATAAGGATTTTATTATGCAATAACTAAAAACAGTTTTATAAAATTTCTAAATTTAAGACCCACTTGTTTTTTAGACATTAAATCACATCACTTAGCATCCTCCATAATTTACCTAAACTTTATTTAAAATTTTTTAAAACTAACGAAATTTTTATTTCTGTTTATAAATATTTGTTGCAAAATAAAATCCTTACATTTGCATTGACAAAATCCATCAAAGGATGAAACACTTTGGCTAAGATAAATTTTCCTTTTATCTTTATTATAGTATATATATATATATATATGTATATATATATATATATATAGAGAGAGAGAGAGAGAGTGAGAAAGAGAGAGAGTGAGAGAGAAAGATGAATAGAGAGAGAGAGAAAGAGAGATGAATCTGAGAGAGAAAGATGAATAGAGAGAGAAAGAGATGAATAGAGAGAGAAAAATGATGAATACAGAGAGAGAAAGAGAGATGAATATAATAGATAGAGAGAGAAAGAAAGAGATGAATAGAATAGAGAGAAAGAGAGATGAATAGATAGAGAGAGAGAGAAAGAGAGATGAATAGATAGAGAGAGAGAGAAAGAGAGATGAATAGATAGAGAGAGAGAGAAAGAGAGATGAATAGATAGAGAGAGAGAGAAAGAGAGATGAATAGATAGAGAGAGAGAGATGAATAGATAGAGAGAGAGAAAGAGAGATGAATGAATAGAGAGAGAGAGAAAGAGAGAGAATAGATGAGAGAGAAAAGAGAGATGAATAGATAGAGAGAGAGAAAGATGATGAATAGAGAGAGAGAGAAGATGAAGAGAGAGATAAAGAGAGAGAATAGAGAGAGAAATGAGATTTAATAGAGATGAATAGAGAGAGAGAAAGAAAGATGAATAGAGAGAGAGAAGAGATGAATAGAGAGAGAGAGAAAGAGAGATGAATAGAGAGAGAGAAAGAGAGATGAATAGAGAGAGAGAGAAAGAGAGATGAATAGAGAGAGAGAGAAAGAGAGATGAATAGAGAGAGAGAGAGATGAATAGAGAGAGAGAGAGATAGATAGAGAGAGAGAAAGAGAGATGAATAGAGATGAGAGATGAATAGAGAGAGAGAGAATAGAGAGAGAGAGAGATGAATAGAGAGAGAGAGATGAATAGAGAGAGAGAGAGATGAATAGAGAGAGAGAGAGATGAATAGAGAGAGAGAGAGAATAAAGAGAGAGAGAGAGATGAATTTTTGAATTTAGATGAATAGATAGAGAATATAAAGAGATGAATAGATATAGATGATAGAGAGAGAGAGAAAAGAGATGAATAGATGAGAGAGAGAGAAAGAGAGATGAATAGATAGAGAGAGAAAGAGAGATGAATAGATAGAGAGAGAAAGAGAGATGAATAGATAGAGAGAGAAGAGATGAATAGATAGAGAGAGAAAGAGAGATGAATAGATAGAGAGAGAAAGAGAGATGAATAGATAGAGAGAGAGAGACATAGATACACAGGATGATTAAAAAGTAATTCCTGTTCAGCCAGGAGTTCTGATTTAATACCCTGTTACTTTTTTCCTTTGGGGTTGGTTAAAAGGAGCAAATCTACTTTGGAAGAACTTGAAGGTCAAATACAGAAGTTATGTCTTCCATATCACAAGAATTCCTGGTGAAATCAGTTGACACGATTCCTGGGTGGCTAGAGAAGCTGATAGCAAAATTTGGCACACATATCGAATTTTAAATAATGCTACACACCTTTATCTCATATCCATTTCTTGTAAAAATCATAGTTAATAAATAAATTGTAAGTATTTGAAAATGGAGAGTTACATTTCAATCACCATGTATATAGATAGATAAAACATTTTAACAGTACATTCTTTTTTTTGCATGTGATTAAAAAACTGTGTCATTTCAGCAATTTCTTTTTTGTAGAGATATAAAAGTAAGATATTTATTGACAGGTTTTAGCAGTTATGATCATGGAACAATTGGAAATCAATAAATCAATAACCCTGATAATGTCCAACCCCCCAAAAGTACTGTTGCCATATGCTGCTTTATCAATATTTACTTGCCTAACATTCACTTATTAATGCTTATTTCCATAATGAAACTGCTTGGTAAGAAAACATATATAGCTCAATTAGTGAAATATTTACATGAATTAACAAACACATCACAAAACATAATTACAGATAAAATTTGTCTTAGAAAAGTAAATATCCTGACCCCAGTTCAAAACTCAAAAAAGTAACTTCTTCATGTTCAGCAGAAAAACTCTAAAGAGTTAATATTTAAAACATATCCCAGTTCTGTCTTGACTGGACAATAAGGGATTTTCCACAGACTTTGTAATTCATTTGTTTTGAGAATATGCATTGTCACTAACTAGAAAATATTACTGCCATTCATCACACAAACTCCTTACCTGTAAAAATAAGTGTTTTTTTTTAACTTCACTTGCCTTTAGGATATTAATGTTTCTTCTGTTTTAGTTTGAGCATGGGTTTGGTTTTATTATTGTAAATCTGTAATAATTAGAAGATATTATATTTTCAAGTTGCTCATAATAATTCTGTTATGGCTTCATTATCATAAATAATTAACTCGGCTTACACAATAAAATAACTAAAACTAAGAAACTAAAAACAAACAAGGAGAGAAAAAAAAAATCATTCACTGCAATGAATCTTACACAACTACAAAATTATACAGTTACTATTTGTAAACATCTGTTCTGTCTTTTTTTATGATCCTATATATTTTTTTAATCAGTTTATTAACTTGAATGGTCAAATTATAAATAGAAATTTCTTAAATTATACTAGCTTTCTTATGCTTTGACTCCAATGAGAATGGATTCTAGGGCATAATAAAGCAGTTTCTTCTTCATCATGAAACACAGACTATACATCACACAGATTGTTTATATTTTTTGAAATAGAGATCTCACAAAGTGACATACAAGTCACACCAGGGAAAAAAAAATAAAGAGATAGCTCAACATTATTATTAATTTTGACTAGTGTTAACTTTTATGTTTTTACTTCTTTTTTTTTTTTTTTTATTGCAAATATTTATTCAGGCAATGAATAGATAGCATAAACTTGATGTGAGATTCTAACACATGTCCTTTTGCCTGGGGGGAGAAGCCTCATTTGACAGGCCTAATTCCAATCACATGATTTCTACTCACTGCTTTAAGCTGACAAGTAAAAAACAAATTGTAAATTAAAAGTAACAAAAAGATGAAAGTAAATACTACTAGTGAAAAAAAAAATTGACAATGCTTCATCTAAAGAAAAGGAAGGAAAGATAAGACTGCTGCTATTAATACTGCTAGTCAATCATTGTTCAAATAATTGAATTTCATCTAACACTGCATTTCAGGTAATCAATTCTTTGAAAAGAGCAAAAAGGAAAGAGAAAGCAAAAAGGAAAAAGAAAGAGAGAGAAGGCGAGAAAACGAAAGCAAAAAAATGAAAGGGAAAGAAAGACAAAAGAGAGAAAAAGAAAGAGAAAAGAGAGAAAAAGAAAGAGAAAAGAGAGAAAAAGAAAGAGAAGAGAGAGAAAAAGAGAGGAAAAGCGAGAGAAAAGAGAGAAAAAGAAAGAGAAAAGAGAGAGAAAAGAAAGAGAAAGAGAAAGAGAGAGAGAGAAAGAAAAAAAAAAAAAAAAAAAAAAAACCTTTCTTCCAGGAATAGAATACACATAAGGACTGAAGAATGGATCAACCACAATGTACAGTTAATAACAGTAATGACTGTACAAAGAAGTTTCATTTGTTCAATGTTGGGTATATTTGTGATGCTTCTTAAAATTGTAGAACAATTAGTCAAGACACACATCTAGTTTTTTTATTTTTTTTATTCATTCATTTTCTACAGATTATCAAAATTTTACAGGTCATTTAAAGCCATAAAATATTTGTAGATTGTAAAAATTTACTTTTTGGAGATAATAATGACTTAGTGATACAAATCCTACTTAATTAACCCATAGCTGTGGAGAGAAGAGGTGGATTCATACCTTTCCCAAGGGTATTTGCACATAAGTGAATACAATGAATCCAACTGAAATTGGAAATCAGTTCTCAGATTAACAATTCAAAGTCATTATCCATTATACCACCTACACATCCAAGCTTATAGCACCTGATATTCCCAAGTGATCACCCATCTAGGTACGGATCAGTCTCAACATTGCGGTGATCATAGTCTTTCAACATGAAATGACCATAAGACATACACCTAGTCAAGTGGGCAGTAAATTATTTTTTCTGTGATTAGAGCAACTGGTGGTTTTGTAACTACAAACAGCATCACCAGTAAAATCTAAAAGTGAGAGTTTCAAAGCAACTACCTGCTGTACATGTAGTAAAAAAGAAATAAAATGTATGATAAATGATTAAAAACTTTTGAGATCAGGCATACTACTACTCACATTTATGTATTTGACTCTTCTAATAACATTGAAGAAATATAATTTTCTATTATTTTAAACTGACTGATGTTTTGATTGATAATGCTGGTAGTGCTCTTTTAAATAAAAATGCCATATTTTAATCATATCTTAATTTATATCTAGTTCCTATATAAATTGATAGTAATTTTTGAATTGCAAGATTCTTACAAAATATCAAATACTTAAATATTTTTTTGAAGACACAAGTAAACTAGTTACTAGTGACACACACACACAAAGTGTATGTGTGTGTGTGTGTATATATAGAATATTTTTTTAAAAAATACGTGATGCCATAAAATCTTTCTTGAAATTTTAATATTCCCATTAACCAAAATATTTGTGTACTTCAAACCAAATTTTAACTGACAAGAATCTTTTTTTCTAGTTATCAGTCAAATCAATAAATTCATCCATATTGACATATCTGTCAACACTATTTTGATTCTCTTTATTAAAATATCTTTCAAAAATAGAATATATTTTGCTGAAACATTATTTGAGAAAAATTAACTGATTTAAAGTTAAATTAATCTGAATTGAAACAAACATTACTATTAGTTTAAAAAAAATGTAGAAAATAATTTTTTTAAGACTGAGTAGGTGTTTTTGACATGTTGAGTGACTTATTGACAGCCTGATGTTAGGCACCTCGAGGTAGTGTAATGGTTAGCAAGCTTGTCTCACTAGAACAATTACGACTGAGTAGTGAGTTAAATCCTCACTGGGTGCTCCTTACTTTCGGCCTTGTGCCACATCGTAGCTACACTTGGAAAATCACTATTGACAGCCTGAAGTTTAGGAAATTTATCTAAGAGAGACAATAACTGGAAAAATTACAAGACAAATACAAAATGAAGGTCTTTTTATAAAAAAATTTTTTAACTACCCAGTAATCTTAAGAATTTTAAATATTTAAAGCATTCTAAGAATTTATTGAATTTTAGGTACTTTGGCTTTATAGCATTACTTACAAAGATGCTTGTTGAGGAAATGCTAGAAAATTACCAATAAATTTAAAATTTACAGTAGGTACCTCTCTTATGTTCTGATAATGTTGTGTATGGCTGTCCATATTTACAAAAAGACATTTATACATTTTCCATTTATGATTAGTAAATAGAGTTTTAAATTAACAACACATAATTTTCAAAGGTGAAGGTCATTTCAAATTCCAAAAATCAAACAGCAATTGTCTGCTTAGAGAGATTCAGATTTATTGAAACAAAGTATGGATGCCTCCTTTTTGTGCACTTAGTTTCATAATAATTATATTTTTTATTATACATTCTTGTTTCTTCCTCACATTTATTTCAAAATAGATAACGGCAGCAAACCAGCATGTATCTATTTATTTATTTATCATCAAGTCATGTAACACAATTTTCCAGCCATACAGATTATGTTTTACAATGACATGCCCAAATAGCGTCTTCACCTATCAAATAGTTGTTAAACACCTAACATATTTGTACAGGGTGCAATGGGTAAATTATTGCCATTTTATAATTTCACAAATGTGCATTGTTTGTTTTTGTCAACTGCACAGTATAATAGGGTCAAGCTAAGCAATGTCTGTGAGAAAAAGAGCACCATAACAATTCATATGCCAGAAATTTAGAAACAGCATGCTATACTGCTTGAAATTCATTCTGGAAGCTCCAATATGAACATTTCAGAGTGTTTGGGTGTTAATCTGAGGACAGTGCAGAGGATTCATAATGAGTTGGATAATATATCCAAACATTCTAGTGTTTGGAGTGATCACTAGTGATGGCAATGTTATGCCTCCATTCATCTTCCCATAGGGCTTCAAACTCAACTACATCAAATGCCTAGAGGAGGTAGTGCTGCCCTGGATCAAGAGGGTGGCTGCTGGAAGACCCTATGTTTGGCAACAGGACTCTGCACTATGGCACACAATCAAGAGAACTCAGTCATGGCCGTTTTACAATTTCACATTACCCCTTACATCTAGCCACCTAACTATCCAGACTGCAACCCCCTTGATTATTATGCATGGGGCACAGTTGAAAGAGTGACCATCAAAACTCTTTGTAACATCAAAGATGAACTGAAGGTAAGGATTATGGCAGCATTTACTAACTAAAACAAGGAGACTGTTCAGAAGAGTTGCAGGAGATTCTGAAGTCATCTGGAGGCAATGGTTGAAGCTAATGGCAATTTTATTGAAAAAAAATTTACTTCTTAGTATTTCAAAATATTTTTTGTCCAATTTTGGTAAATAAATCTGTTAAAATGAGATGTCAGTGTTATTTTCATTTTTGCATAATTTAGATGACAATTTATCCATCGCACCCTGTATATAAAAAAGTTCTAATGTACTGTAGTGAATTCTATAAATAAAAGCTGTGTTATGTATATTTAAGTTTATTTAATA